GGCGGCGGCGGAGGCGGCGCGCAGGATGCAGGTGGCCCGCTTCCGAGCCAGGTTCGACCCCCGGGTCCTCGCCAGGTGAGGCGCCGCGCGACGGGCCGGCCCGGGGCTGGGCGGAGCCAGGCGGACCACTGGCCACGTCGGCCGTGACCTTCCCCGCGGCGGGACTAAACCCCAGACCGCCTTCTGTCTGCTTACAGGACCCTGACTCTCCCAGATGCTCTCTGCCCCTTGGAGATGCAGATCCTCCACAACGCAGCGATGTCTGGCTCGAGGGCCGGGCGCCATCCCTTTGAAATGTAATCATGAAGAAAGATAGGGACCCTGGGGACCAGTCTCTGTGGGCAGAAGGGATCTCACTTCTGTAATACACAGAAGCCCCAGTCGCCCTGACGACCTCCCTCCAACATCCTCCAGTCATTTTCTACGAGCTCCCTCCAGCGCTTAGAACTCCACCGCCTTTTAACAGCTGAGTTCAGTCTCTCTCTCTATTGCAGTAGTTCTGACCCCTGCTGCAATGGTCTGGAATAAAGCCCTCCTTGCTGCTTTTAACAAGTGTCCAGTGCAGTTTCTCTTTGATACCTGAGCAGGGGGGGCAGAGCACAGGGCAAGTTGGAGACTGAAGGGAGAGGAGAACAGCAGCAAGGAAAGGGAGGGATCCCTGACCTAAGCCGGGGAGGAGGAGGGCCTCCCAGCCCCCACAGCACATATGGGGCCTTGCCACAGATGCACGGGGCTGGGTTCAGACAAGCCTGGTTTGTGAAGGGTCTGTACTAAATTCTAGAAAAGGAGATCATAGTGGACTAGAAACGGGCCTTCCAATCAGCGAGACTGAGATCCACTTCTGTCTCTTCTGTCCTTTGTCATGGGAATGTTCCTTACTTTCTCCTTCCTCAGTTTCTGCTGCTGTAGAATGGGAGTAATAATATCTACCTTGTAAGAATGCTGTGAGGATATTAAAGTAACGCATGTGAATTATGCTGCACTGTGCCGGGCACGAGTGCTCCTTTAGATATTAGAGCAATGCTCACCATTGTCTGCATGAAGCACACATGAGACCGAGCTGACTCTACGTAGGAAAAGAGCTGGGATGGCAGGTTGGTTGGCCTGAGACAGTTTCCTCAGAGTGCACCATGCTGGACGTGTTGAGGAAGGAAATTGTGGAATCCCCCTCCACCCCACAGTGTTTGGTGAAACACAGTGGTGGTGGCTCGACTGGCTTCTCAAGGACACTTGTAGTCCTAGAATTGTGTGCTCACCTCCCCACGGTGCTCTGACCAGGGTCTATGCAGAGACTTTTCCTGGCCTTCTTGGGAACTTCTAGTACAAAGACGACTTGAGGACCAGTCCAGGAGCTGCGAAGCTTAGAGAAGAACAAAGCTGGCTGATCCAGCTGAGCTTGAATCAGAGTGGACGTTGGGTCTTGTCCAGACTGAACTGGTTAAATGGCACTGCTGGTCATCTGTGGCCAGGGAGGTGAGGCTGCTCTGGTCTAGTCTTTATCCATCCTCATAACCCCCACCTCCAGGGTAGTCCCTGCCCCTTAGAGTGTGAGCGGGTCATAGTAGCAGAGGAGCTCAACATGGGCAGGGCTGTAGAGACTAACTCAAGGCCCTTCTCCGGACCAGGAGTTGAGCCCAAGATATTAAGTGACTTGTCCAACTTGGTGGCAGAGTTAGATCCAGAACACAATTGTCTTTCCTCTCCACTGTGATTCCATTATGACTCTTGCAGAATAGAGATGATAGAATTTAAACCTGACTGTATCCACTTTCTTCTTGGGAATTCACTACAATTGCTTCTATCAAACAGGTTGTGATATTATTATTGTTTCCATGTTTTATTTTTTTATCTATGCTCAAAAAATTCCCAGTTCGTAGCAGCTGAGGTTAAAATAATAATTTCAATTTCCATAATCTTCGGGATGATGTAAAATTGCATCACCTACCAAATTGACGTTGAGACTGCTCCGTGGGGGTGGGAGTGGAGCAAATGGAACAGCCCGGTAAATGCAGTCTCCCGTGCTTGATTCGATCCTTAATGTTTTCAAAATATATGTGATAATTTGGGAATAATATGTATTCAGTGAATGATTCTTTCAGTCATCGTTTATTGCAGTCCCCTCTGTGCCAGACACTGCACAAGATATAGCCTCTCGCATCATAAAAATGGTCGACATCCATGGCCGTCAAGGGCTCAGAAACAAGGTTGCAGCTTCAGGAATTTGTTACGGAACTTCTGTTGTTCAATCTGAAGCCGTTTATTTCCACTGCTCTAAATCGTGGTTTAAAGCCTGCTGTTTCCTCCAATGCTAAGTTATAGGCATTTTTTCAAATATATGGTATATGAAGATCCTTACCAGTATGGAATAAAGCTACTTTTATTTGAGCAAAAGAGTGTAGTGTCTCAGAAATGGCAATTCATCTGATATCTGATGATTAATTCCATGAACAAATGAATTTGTCTGCAGTTTTGAGGGCATAGTGATAAATTAGTATTTGCAAGTGCTCTCATCCACATTAGATTAATGTAAGACTTGGTTGGTCTGCAAAGTAATAAATTTGAAATGCCTGTGATTGTCTTCAAAATCACACTGAGAGTGCATGTGAATAAAAAAGCAGATTTGGAACAAGAAGAGGGGGTAGAATCTATTTAAGATTACTAAACTGCTATGTTTTGATAAGGTAAGTGGCCAGAAAATTAAATGCACCGTATAGAACAAAGCTGTTTTCTGTAAGCCGGAACAGCCAAATACCATTTTTATTCAGTAAGCACAGGAATATAAGAAATAAATACATAGACCAAAAAAAAAAAAAAAAAAAGAAAAAAGGAAAAGACAATTACAGGAAGACTAAGCTTGGCAAAAAGGAGTAAGGCTATTTAAAGCACAGATTGGTGTTTGCATTTGAATCTTTGGCGTTGAGTATGTGACTTAAAGATTTACCTTCTTCCCATGTACTCCCTGAGTACATTCCATTCCTAGCATCCTTACTTGGGGGAAGTTTTAATAAAGTGGGAAAAGCACCAAATTATGCAGGTAAGGATATCTGGGTTCTAACCCTGACTCTACAACTTGAACAACCAATCTGCTAACCTGATCTTCAAATTTCCTCATGCATAGCATGAGAGGTTGGATTAAATCATTCTCTAATATTCTTCCCAGCTGTAAAAGCATGACCCTTTTTTTTTTTTTGTGAGGAAGATCAGCCCTGAGCTAACATCCATGCCAATCCTCCTCTTTTTGCTGAGGAAGACTGGCCCTGGGCTAACACCCATGCCCATCCTCCTCCACTTTATATGGGACGCCACCACAGCATAGCCTGACAAGCAGTGCGTCAGTCTGTGCCCGGGATCTGAACCCGGGCCGCCAGCAGCAGAGCGTGCTCACTTAACCACTACGCCACGGGGCTGGCCCAAAGCAAGATTCTAAGTCTAGCATTTTCTCAACATTTCTAAAATAAAGATAGAGGCTTAAATTTGATAGGATTCTTAAATTTACATAGACATTTACACAGATAATTCAAGTTTAAGATCCCTAGCCTTTGAAATCCTAGCTGGCTTCCTGGCCTGTCTGAGAGAGAATTACTTTACACGTTACTGACATAATCCCATGTTAAAATTCTGTTTGCTGTGTAGAAATTGCAAGAGCAGGGGGTGATTGGGCGTCGGAGGGGGGTGGCTGCAGGGTGGTGCTATCACCACCCCCACCATTGAAACCATATTGAAACCTGCCCTAATAATAGGCAGGTTTACTTTTTCAGTGGTCATCTATTAAGGAGCAACTGTGGACGAGATAACGAGATGTGCCCGGGACTGAGAGCTCACGGTCCAGTAACCAGAGGAAGCCTGCCCTTTGTCCCCTGTCTCCCGATACGGTTTCTTCCCTCTTTTGTGAAGTTATAAACAAGACTAAGCTTCCTTTTTATTCTCTCCACCTGATTTGCTGAACGATAAAATCAAGAGCTGAAGGGAGGAAAGAATATGGCAGAGGGAGGTCCTAAAATTTCCCAAGGAAATTTTGGTGAAACGCATTTGAAGGGGTTGATTTAAATCCCATCCATTTCAGCTACAATCTGTGTGGCCTTGGGGAATCACTTACCTTTTTTATCCTTAATTTCCTTGTATGAAAAAGGAGATAGCATTATGTCGCCCAGCAGCGATATTGTAAAGATAAGAATTAAAAAAAAGTTCCTGGCACGTAATAAATGTATAATAAATGGTAGCTCTTGTTATTAAGATTATTTGTCTTTCTACCAATTAATTACTTTTATATCACTTGCCTCCATTTCGAAAGAGGACTTGGGGTGGCTTTCAAAAATAATAAACACACTTAAGCACTAACATGCATGGAAATTGAATGAGGGACTATAAAGATAGAAAAGATGATATAAAGCATCGACTGAGATAATTTTGCAAAGCATCACTTCAGAGGATAACAGATTTGGTTTTTCTTTCTGACAGATATGACATCAAGGCTCTTATTGGGACAGGCAGTTTCAGCAAGGTTGTCAGGGTGGAGCAGAAGACCACCAAGAAACCTTTTGCAATAAAAGTGATGGAAACCAGAGTGAGAGAAGGCAGAGAAGCGTGCGACTCAGAGCTCGCCGTCCTGAGGCGGGTTAGCCATCGTTACATCGTCCAGCTCCTGGAGATCTTTGAAGCCCAGGATCGAGTTTACATGGTGATGGAGTTGGCTACGGGAGGGGAGCTCTTCGATCGCCTCATGACCCAGGGATCCTTCACAGAGCAGGACGCTGTCAGAATCCTCCAGATGGTCGCTGATGGGATTAGGTATTTGCACGCATTGCGAATCACTCACAGGGACCTAAAGCCCGAAAATCTCTTATATTATCATCCAGGGGCAGAGTCGAAAATTTTAATCACAGATTTTGGTTTGGCACACTCTGGGAACAAAAGCGGTGACTGGACGATGAGGACGCTCTGTGGGACCCCAGAGTACATGGCCCCCGAGGTTTTGCTAAGGAAACCTTACACCAGCGCAGTGGACATGTGGGCTCTCGGCGTAATCACATTTGTTTTACTTAGCGGATTCCTGCCTTTTGATGATGAAAGCCATACAAGGCTCTACAGGAAGATTCTGAAAGGCAAATACGATTATACAGGAGAGGTAAGAGTTCATTTTATTGCTATCGAGTTGGCCTGAGGTAGAGTTTCTCAACCTCAGCACTATTGATGTTTAGGGCTGGATGACTCTTTGGGGGTGGGGTGGGGAGATGGAGGGTGGGGCTGTCCTGTGTTTCGTAGGATGCTCAGCAGTATCCCACCAGATAACCACCAGATACCAGTAGATACACTAGTGGTGGATACTGGTCAATACTGATATATCTAGATATACACTTTCCCCACCTGTGACAACCCAAATTGTCTCCAGCCATTGTTAAATGTCCCCTGTGGGGCGAAATCATCCCTGGCTGAGAGCCATTGGTCTCAAGGTAGCACGGGCCTTGATTACAGGATTGTCTGTGGTTAGCACATGACATTGACAAATAGATAAGTCAGTTTGTTTGCTGTTTTTTCTTCAATCAGCACGCAGAGCCTGGGCCCGCTGAGTGACTAATGTGTGCTCAGGAGCTCAGCATGATGCTCCGGTGTTTGGGGAGAGATTGTTTGCCTTAAATCTACATGGTCCAAGGCCTTTTAGTGAGGTAGTGTTTCCTTAGTGACATGTTTAACCTCACAGCTTGTGTGAAATATTTATCCATCGTTCAAACTTGGAACTCCCGGTGTTCATGAGTGCGTTAACCTTTTGTTGTTTTGTTTGGGGAAGGAAAGTCACCAGTGCTTGTGTGTGGGAAGCCAGACAAAATAGGAAATTCATTTCATGTTGAGCAGGTGACCAACTTTACTTTCTGTTTGACTATAAAAGGATTTTTTTCCTCATAAAGAAAAGTATTAATAGTTATGATTATACCTACTTAAAGTGTAACATCTATTTCAATAACAGTTTAAGCAAAATTAAAAGCTAAATAACAAATTGAAAAATAATATTTTCTATGCTCTGACAGAACTTTAAGATCTTACTGTACACTTATATATTTAAAAAAACTCATACAAATTGATAATTGAGAACTAAGGCTTACACAGGGAAATAGGAAGGAATGGGGAGAATCCACAGACAATGCACTACTGTTGATTATTAAAAGTTTGGAAAATGTCCAGCATCACTAATAACCAGAGAAATGCAGATGAAAAAAATCTTCTTTTTTTTTTTGATCCTTCAAATTGATTAAAAAACCCAAAACAGACTCAACTTAATTCTACTCATTACTGCTACGGGCACTAAGAGATTAGCCCTCTCATTGACTGCTGGTGGAGGGCAAGTTGTTACAGGTTTCTTGGAAAGTAGTTTGGAAATAAGCATCTAGAACTTTAAAAAGTTGATATATTTTGATCTGGTAATTCCACTTCTAAGAATCTAAGAAAATCACCCCAGACGCAGCAAAGGTTTCAGTATAAAGATGCTTACCTGAGCTGTATTAAGACAGTGGAAAATTGAAAAGAACCCGAAGAGAGTGTTTGGGTAAACTACATCCATACGCTAGAGCATGGGAGTCCCTCAATTATCCACGTTTAAAAATCATAAGGACATTGGAAAACGTCCACAGTGAACAAAAAGCTGAATGCAGACTGTGTACGGAGGACTATCAGAGCCCTACTGGAAAATGTACGCACAGGGAAAAGGCCGGGGAGAAATATCGTAAAGTGTTAACAGAGCTCATCTCCTGGTTTGAGGATTATGGATCATTTTGGTTTTCTTTTTTATAATTGGAATATCTTTGTATTTCTGTTTTTGTATTGTTTACAAAGAGCACACAGTTCCGTTTTGGTTATCTATTGCTGCATAGCAAACCATCCCCAAGCCTAGTGGCTAAAATGACCATCATTTGATCATGACTCATGGTTCTGTGGGTCAGTGGGGCTCAACTTGGTGCCTCTTCTGCTCCACGTGATGTTGGAGGGACATCTGGGGCCCTGACTGGCGTTGATTATCCGTGATGGCCCCTCAAGTGTCTGACATCTTGGTGGGAGGGCTGGAAAGCTGAGTTCAGCTAGGTCACCGAGACCGCTCGGGCTTTTTCTCTCTCCTCTCCCTCTGGGTCTCAGGGCCTCCTTCCATTTGTGGGGTGTCTTCATGTGGTCTCTCCTGCAGGGCAGTCAGACTTTTTACATGGAGGTTTAGGCCTTCCACAAGGGAACATTGCAAGAGGAAGACAGTGGAAGTTCCTAGTCCTTTTCAAGGCTGGGCTAGGAAACGACACAGCATCACGTCCGCCTCATTCCGTTGGTTACTGTGAGTCCCAGGCCAGCCCAGAGTCCATGTGGAGGAGACCATACAGAGCGTGACTGCTGGGGGCATGGCCCACTGGGGCCACACTGGACTAGATATCACAATTATTTTTTAATGTGCGAAAATAATAAACAATAATATTCTGTTGTGTCCAAAGTCCAAAAGTTGTCAGGTTTAATTCAGAGGGTTTCTGAGGTCCAGTTCTCCCAAAGTCACCCCTGAGAAGAGGATCCGTGTGCAAGTGGTATATTAAGGAGAGACTCCCAGAGAGACAAGTAAGGGAGCGAGGGAAGCAGGGCAGGGAAGGTGAGGAGGCCAAGGCCACAAGGGGTCAGCCTCATCTCGCAGGGAAGTTGCTCCTCAGCGTTGTTCCAACCTGATGCAGGTGAGCTGGGTTTTCACACCTTCCCCGCTCCTCCACCTGTGTCACTCTCGGGGGTGATGGCGGTGGGGAGGTGGTGGCGAATTCTCATGCTCTCTGGGGATCAAGGAATGGGGTTCCAGGAGCCCCAGGGTGGTCTGCTGAAAAAGAGTGAGGTGCTGGGTTGTAGAAGCAGAGCTCTCCAAGGGAGGAGGCGAGTGTACACACAGAAAAGAGGGGCTCAGGGTGTGGACGGGGCGCAGACATCATCTCCACTGTGGCACCTCTGTTTCTGGAGGAAATGCCTGTCTGTGGCCCCAGAGTACTGACAACACCCACCACAGAGCAGGAGCGTGGCTACTTGTAATGAGTTATTGGATTTAGATCTCCTTAGCTTTCTTCCCCATGTTTGTCAGGCACCCATGTCCATCACATTAACACTTTCCTCTAATATTACCAAGTGTCTGAGTCATCTCAAACTGCCGTAACAAGATGCCACAGACTGGGTGGCCTAAACAATAGAAATTTACATCCAAGATCAAGGTGCCAGCAAAGTTGGTTTCATTATGAGGCCTCTTCTCTGGGCTTGTAGGCAGCTGCCATCTCCCTGTGCGCTCATGTCACCTCTGCCTTGTGTGCGTGCAGAGAGAGAGAGGGAGCACTCTGATGTCTCTTTTTAAAGGGCACTAATCCTATGGGATCAGGATTAGTCCTGATCATCACCCTGATGACCTCATTTAACCTTCATTACTTCCTTAGATGCCACATCTCCAAATACAGCCACACCAGGGGTTAGGGCTTCAACATACGAGTTTTGGAGAGACACATTCAGTCCATAGTACCAAGGAAACACACATTGATAGACTCAAAAGTCATAGCATCATGTTTTCTCTGTCATCATATTATTGTATACCTAGCACCTATCAACAAGCCTAGTAATTTCTAAATGCACCAATTTCATTTAAAAACCAGGGTGACTATCAATTCTGGAAGCGTAGCTGTGGTAGGCAGACTAATAGCCCCCCAAAGATGTCCACATTCCAATATCCAGAACCTGTGGATATGTTACCGCACACTGCAAAAGGGAATTTGCAGACGTGATTCAGTTAAAGATCTTGAGATGGGGAGATTATCTCGAATTATCTACGTGGGCCCAGTGTGATTGCAAGGGTCCTTATAGTAGGGAGGCAGGGGGGGTCAAAGGCAGAGAAAGAAGATGTGATGATGGAAACATAGGTGGAAATGATGTGCTTTGAGGATGGATGGGGGAAGGAGTCATGAGCCAAGGAATGTGGACTCTAGAAGCTGGAAAAGGCAAGGAAGGAATTTTCCCAAGAGGCTCTAGAAGGAACACAATTCTGCTGACACCATGATTTTAGCCCCTAAGACCCATTTCAAACTTTTGACATGTAGAACTGTAAGATAACAAGTTTGTGTTGTTTTTTAAGTCCCTTTGTCTGTAACTGAGATTTTAGATATGACACGTTGTGTGAATCACTTTTTTTCTCTAGAAGTCAGCTGGGGAAGTGAAATAAAGAGGAAAAAAACTTCCAGAGATCTAAGTGCTGTGTCTCTTGTGGTGAGAAGGAGAGATATGTCTGATATAAACAGCAAATATTTTACTAGATACCTGGCAGATCTGTACTCTAACTCCACCCATGTATAAGCAAAACATTAGCTGTAATATTAGTGTTTAATTCTTCTTGATTTTGATGTGAAATATATGCCTTCTCATGAAGCTTCAGTGACCATACCACTTGTGCTGTTCTTTCCCTTTTCTGAATAGTGTTTAGGATTATAATAAATATCTTTTGTTTTGACATTTAACCTGTATGTCATCTCTCTAAGACATTGTAGGCTTCTTGTAGGCTGGGACTCCATCATAGTTCCCCCCATCTCCAATAAGAGCTAGGCATAGAGAATGCGTTTCATAAAAATAAATTGCTTTTTAAAATTATGGAGAGATTCCAATTTATAACTACATGAGTAAATGTATCTCAACTATAACTGCGCTGAGCACAGAATACAAATTTTAATTTATAATAAGGAAAACTATTAGATAATTAGATATTAGATATTTATTATCTAATATTTTCTAGATTCTCTAGATATTTATGATCTAATATTATCACAATATTAGATAATTAGTTATATATTTATATATATATAAATATATATATATAATATATGTATTTATAATAAGGGAAACTATTAGATAATAGTTGCTGAACTTATTAGACTCATCATGGAATATGAGGGGTTTGGAAGGCTAGATTTACTCTACTCAGTGCATTTTGCAGGGTCAGGTGGGAGTTCTCCTTTCCACTTGTTTGCTGCAATGCAATGACAGAGGAGCAAGTGGGGTGGAAAGACACAGCAGACAGTGGAAAAGGGGGGAAGAGACCAGAGATTTCCTCCCCACTGTGTGAGGGAGCCCCCACTTCTGTACTTGAGTACC